GACAAAACTGACGATACATTCACTCTTTATATTGCCAATGTTTTTGAACAACATTCAAATACACTTCGAAATAGTAAAATGTATTATGATATTTAGTTTTATTTTTAGAACAATATTATTCTTTTAATTAATTTTCAAGTAATCGCAATCGTACTAGATGATTCTCACTTCGTATTGATAGTAAAGATACGATACTAAGCTTTCTATAGCGTAGTCGGTGCCATCAGCATTAATTGCATATACTATTTTGATACTAAATATCACATTAGCTCTTCTGTAAAATGTATGACTATATGACGGCTACCACGCTTGTACTTTGCATTATGCTTCAGATACTCATATAAAACGTACAAACACGAAAGACTGATACTAGATGACTTTCTTCGACTTTTATTTTGTTATAGTTGATCGAATCTTGTGATCGATACGCTTAACTTGTTTAGGGTATTGTGCATTAATGGTCACGTTTGAGCTCTTTTATAATAAGTTGTCGTGTTATTTATTACCGTGCGAATGTGAATATTTTTTTGGGAGCTCGTGACAATTTCACGTGGTCTTCGCTCCGAAACTATCACAACACGATATCTGCAAGAATCTCTCGTTATATCCGGAAAAATATCGTGCACATCAACGTATGTATACCCTTCTAGACGAGAACCAGAGCAGAAACTGCTGTCAAAGTTGCTGCTGTTGTCGAAGCTGCTACCGAGGCTACTATTATCGACGCTGCCGCTACCATTGAGAATCCTAGCCAATTACAACATCCAGCAGGCATCTCTAACCTTACAACTTGTGATCTGGTCCTCGGGTTTAGTGGCGATTGATGTAAGCCAGTTAATTGATCGCGTCTTGCTTTTCAGAATAATTATCGTGGGCACTTAACGAGACACGGAATGACATAGACGCTTTTTGACAACAATTGGAAAAACTGCGAACGGACCCTGAGACAGAGCTTAAAAGATACTATCAAAATAAATCCAAATTTGAGAGCCAATCTAAAAAGGTAAATTAATAAATTAAAAGATATCATATACTTGACCTTTATTCATGCTAGGAACAGATCCAACGAAACGTCTACGATATATAATGTTTTTTTAATTTATTAATTTACCTTTTTGGGTTGGCTCTCAAATTTCAATTTATTTTGATAGTATATGTACATCGAGAGTGAATATGAATTGTAATGTTGAGCCTAAAAGAAATGTATGAGATTGGTTTAGACCATGTACAGTCCGCATTACTATAAGAAAGCTTTATTAGATAAGTCATAGTCAAAAGTTTATAGTCATGTGAGAAGATACAATGTAGGATTACATTGAAAAGAGTCCAATTCGATATCTTATGTCCTTTCTTAATTTCTTCTTTAGAAAATACAGTTTTATAGTTCTTAGTTATAAGAAACTGCTTGACTAAATCGGTAGAAGCTGTTCCTCTATCTAATATGAAATCAAAGACTCTTTTGCGAGGTATTAGAAGTATATACTTTGCAGCCGGCTAGCAGAAATCTTGTATGAAAGTTTACATGGAAAAGAAAAGCTAACTTTTAGGGTATAAACTTTATTTTAAATCACAGCATACTATAGAACAGCTCTTTAAAAATAAAGTTTTGTATATGAAATACAATGAAATAAAGTTTAGTCATTTATATGCAAACTTAATAAAATCGTCAAAATTTTATGTTTGTGTGTGTGTGAAAATAGATAAAATATGTATCTTGGTACCTCGGGGATTTTCTTTTTTTGTGTGAAATGTGTTTATTAAAAATATCCAGTTAAAAAAGACAATTTATTTGTAATAAGCTCAAATAGTCTCAATTTATCTAAAAACTAAATGTTATTTTTCCAGACAAAATAACCGAATGAGCAAATGACACATATACGCGACGTATTTATTTTTATAGTATATGTAGTATTGCATGTTATCCTTTAGTAGTAGTCCTTGGCGTGACACAAACTCGTTATCAGTATCACAGTCTATGATTTGGATAACTTTAGCTAGGCAGCCCCAAAGTTCACGGAACCACGTGCGTCATCCAAACTAATCGCGGTATCGCGGATCCACGAGCACAGAAAATATCGTAGTATCTCCTTCTCTCTCTGTCGAGGTCTTGCCTCGGGACTTGATATACCTACAGCTTGTTGTAATTTGCAGTGGTAGTATTATGCTATGTCGCAACTGATTTACTGATTATCTAGTTGGCAAACTGTTCGTCTCAAGTACATTTCGAACAGGATTTTTCGATCGTATTTTAGAAAAGATATTACATATCAATATAAAAAGCATCCGAAACTAAAGATGATTCGAGATAAATATTTTCATTCAATCATGGTAAATAAAGATTACAGATCTGAGTAATTATTAGACGCGGTCGTGTGACGATTGATTTCGTTTGTATTACATTTTAATCTTTGCCAATCACATTACTATGAAATTTAATCTTCGAAATTTGATAATTTTATGAAATTCCAGCAATGTATTGCGCAACTATACATGATTCGCAATAGTTTTTGTCAGCATTTACCTTCTGTATCTCGCAAGTAAATTATCTAGTTCAACTTTCGTAAGAGTAATTTCAGAAGTTAGTCAAGATTAGTAAACTTAGATTCCGTAGATAAGGAATATTCATGCTACAAGTTATAGCGAATTCACCTAATTAGACTTTGTAAGCCCACGAATCTGATTAGGAATCCTGGCCAACTTACAAAACCACCAGGCGATGTTTTTCAAGCTAAGAAAAATATTCAATCTCTTTTTTTATTCCATCTAAAAATGAAAACATTTGTTTGCTTTTCTTCTTAATCTCTCTTCAATTCCCGTTAGGCTCAAAACTAATAATGTCGCGAGTTTCATATCCGTAATACCAAATGCTATTAATCGTTTCACTTAAAACAATGTCGCGCCGATATGCATTTATACGTGACGCCGCTGCTCTCCATCCCACTGTAAGCACAGCCTCGGGCGAATTGTCGCCGGAATGATTCCCAATCGTCACGAATGCCAGAACGATGTCAAAAGAAAATGGATTTTCCGTAGCTAGTAATTTGTATAACTATAATTTTTTTCATTGCTTTACAAAGAAGTCGTTAAATAATTTTTAAAAATATGTGTGTGGCATATGCATTTGTGGTATTCATTTCTCTTGAACTGATCACAAAGGACAAATGACACGAAAAACTCACATCTAATCTCGAACACTGCATTCGAAAGTTGAAAAGAACTGCTAAACATTCACTGATAATGAACGACTTAAGACCGCTTACCTATAATCAGTCATTAATTCAGTTACGCGTGGAACTGGCTCTCGGTAGCATGTCACCAAGCCACACACAATATTCAAATATGAATTTTATCAAACATTACACATTAGTTGAGAGCGTGTCTCCCAAGGGTTTCCCGTTCAAAGCGCACGTTCGCATTCGATGCTAGCTCTGACTAAAAGATGGCTCGACAATTTTTTCGACTTCCACTCTCTCTCTCTCTCTCATTCTCCCTCGCTGTTCTATATCTACAGATCAATCGGTCGAAAGGCAATTTTCATAAAATGTTCAACCTGTTGCTTGTCACACTCGCGCGCATATCTTTCGCTGTCCAATTCCAATTCCAAGCGCAATTGAACTTTCGTTTTCTTACAATTATATCAAATTGTATTAATTCATTTGTGAATGCATCTGTATATATTTTTATTTTTCTTTATCGATATATATATAAGAATTTATAGATGGCTTGATGCCTTTGAAGTCCACTGGGAAATCACCGAGAGACGCAACGCTTTTACGCACAGACCGAGAATATTTTTACGTCTGCGTGCACACTCGACAGGTTTGAATTTTCAGTTCCACTTTCGGAAATTCACGCTTCATTCTAACGGATGAGTTTTACGTTCATAATAAAAATAGCGAAAAGAATACAGAAACAGTCTAATTAGCACTCGCGTTTAGTACGGAACTCGTATCGCTGAAAAAATTATTTATCTCTGTTATCTCGCGTATATTTTCCTCTCTCCCCTCGACTCAATCCCACGGGAAAGGAAAGAGAGAGAGAGAGACAGACAGAGATAGGTACACGGACGGGATGAGGAGAATGGATGCATAACCAGGCATGCGGGCGAGATATGAGTCGTTGACCATTTTAAATATGACTTTCATGGGACTAAGCTGTCGACACGATTCCTATGTTGTGCGTGTTAAAAATGTAATTAACGGTTCTAATTTTAGGCGAAATTAATGCACTAATTTGACATTATTTTATGAATTTGTTTCGAAATCATACATCCATCGGTACCGGTCGATTCCCGTTTGAGTTTCTTCGTTAGAAAAGAATTTGAGTCAAGAGGCTTTTCGTTCTCGCACATGTGAACGAAGTGTATAGAAACGTTTAAAGACTTGAAAGGACCTTTTTTTCTTGTTCTTGCAGTGATGGGCGATGAGAAACCGTGAAAAGGCCTCTTTCAAAAGGAGAGAAAGCAATCAGATAAAGCAAGCACGCGAAGCCTTTTTAAAATGGCAAAGTTAATCCCGAGCTGGGAAAACTCTGACCGGACTCAAATGTTCTTGACAATTGGAAAAAGTCATGTTGGCCTTTTCCAATTTAGAACGGATCCAATTTAACAGCCATTCATATTCAGTTCTAAGATTGGGCACCGAAGTGATTTTATCGATGAAACGAGCTGATGAATACTCGAAATCTACGAGAAAGATCTTAGCCTAGCAATAGCTATGATTAACTGATTAAAAATAGCTATAGCAATTAGCATTATTTTATATGTAACTGGTACAAATATTAGAGTTGAAAAGTGTCATTTATCCAATCTGTCTGTGGGACTTTCCAAGTTGCACTGTACGCGCAAGTCCATAACTTAGCTAGGTCCTCATATTCCCTTCGCCAGTAAAATAAGAACAAGCAACCCCGCACTCTTCTAACAATTGTTTCTTTTTTTGCTCGCGCTCGCGAGTGTCCAACTTATGTTTCACGTTCTCTGTGTTATTTTTTGTGTGTTGCAGTGCGGTAGCGGAGACATAGCCGACAGCGTGGCGGCAGCCCTGCTGCGCTCGAGTTCCTCGACGGCCCAGGACGACTCGTGCTAGTCCTCGTCCACAGCCAACTTCTTGCCTCTCGATCAACTTACTCTCCTCGGCTGGAGAGATGATTCCGACTGCTCTGGAACTTGTCTGCTTGCCAGAGACAGGCCGAGACCGACAATTTTTTATCGATCCCTAGCCTCCGCCCACCTTCACCCACCTTCGCCCATCTCCGCCCACCTTTGCCCACCTTTGCCCACTTTTGCCCATCTTTGCCCACCTAGCCCTCAATCCAATACTGAATTTCTTCTTAAATTCTTTGTGAGCCGCGCTTGGACTACGACAAAACTGTCTGTCCTGTCGTCGCTCTCAAGAGTTGCAATAGACTGGCATATTTTACCTTAAGATAGTTGGTGGCGCCGTGACGAAGCTTCGACAGTCTAATGATGCATTTATGTTGTGCGAGGCAATCAAAAGCAAGAGCCAGGAAAGAAGCCTATGTTGTAGGCGTAATTATTATGCATAAGATAGACCAAACTAATAAGTATATAGAGACTCGAAGTATGCGCTATAAATAGAAGGACAGCTGATCTTGGAGGCTATTTGAGAAAAGTTTAACGAGTAATTAACGCTCAGCAGGCGCTCTACTGACGCTTGCTTGCTTCAGATTTTATAGCGCGAGAATGCAAGCAAAAAGTACTATTGGAGCTTATTTATTTGTTTCTTTGAAGAATAAGAATCTTTATTGAAGAAGCAAACTGTTGCTTCTCCTCAAGTAAAGCTTGCAATCTAACAGATGGAATTTTCATAATTTGCAAGTCTCGAGGTAGCGGCAGTGAGTGGGCCTTTATAGGAAAGTTTTCTCATATGATGTAAACGGATTTAAAAGCGTCGAAGAAAAGAGCAGCTTGAGCCTCGTGCGCGCGCCAACGAAACTATGCCGTCACTAATTTCATATTACAGAGTAACGATTGGCGTGGCTGGAATTTCATTTCGAATTCCCTCTGTTCTTCAGGAAAATCCGTGCGAGCGAGATTTAATTAACTCTTTCTCGTTCTCTTCTACAAAAGCCACTGCTCGAGAAGTGATAATTTGTCGCTCGATGCGCGCACAACCACACGCAATCGTGCGCGCGATTACGAGTATTATGTATAAAGTCGTATGATAAGGTGGGACGATCTCAAAAACCAAAGTATAAATAGCGACGATAAATTGACGAGACACGAAAGATTTATCGGTACATATCGCCAACTGGAAACAAGGAAACACTCAAACACGATGTGTTGATCTCACACGGGTGGTCGATCGCGCGTCACACGCAACGGGCGACCGACTCGATGTACAGAAGATCCTGCGCGACTACTCGTCTTAATCGATAAGATATGTTATTGTTGTAATAATATGTGCGCCAAGGCTACGTTAGATAGCCGATATGCGCACTCACAACGAATGTAATAAATGAATATTATCTTTCTTTTATAAAATGTGAATTTCAAGCAAGTAATTCATCTTGATAATTAATCTGTAAGCCTTCCAGCTCACTAATCCCCGTTTCCTCCATTACCAATCAAATTTTATTTCGTTTCAATCTTCATTCTTTTAGACAACATTTTAATACAGCGTACAACTAAGCAGATCCTACGAAGCGCCGAATATAATTATATATACGTACGCGTACAATGTACATACTGCGCAGAGTATTAGCATGAAACAATGATGAATTTCCAATAACGCAGTAGTGCAATTCTCTGTAGACAAGGAGAGTTTTCGAAAAAAAGGCATCGAGCGAGTGCCATGCAAAGAAAGAAGGAGAGAAAAAAAGGAAGGCAACGGATATCTGAAAATCAGTGTAGCAAGTGACTCAGATTCCGTAGCGCGCTAGAGAACATTGAGAGCGAGAAGAATCCATCAGGCGTGAGTGCGATAAAAGAAAGGAGCTTTCTCGCGCCCGTGCATCATCTCCCTCTCTCTCTCTCTCTCTCTCTCTCTCTTTCTCTGCTTCTTTCTCCCATTCTCATGGCATTTGACTGGCCTAGGAATGAGTGCGCATGAAAAGCCGATAGGGAAAAATCGCGGGAGCTTAAAGGCTTTGAATACGAAGAAGAAAAAAGAAGTATCCTCTTGCCTCTTGCCTTTATCTATCCATCGAGCAAGCTACAGACAGAGATAGAGATTCGACAAGTTTTTCGCGCCGCTGGGATCTACTTTTCCTTTTCTCTTTTTTCTTTTTCTCATAAAAACCCACGAATCTGTCGCCCCTTGGAAAATAATTAATTCCCACATAAAAGTGGGCGACGTCGACGACTGCACTACTCTTTCGTGAAAGAGAGAGAATGTCCTTTTCCCTTTTGTCGCCTCGTTACGTCTCTCTCTCTCTCTCCCTCCCTTTCTCTTTGATTTTTTCTATTCTTTTCCACGTCGCATCGAGAGCATGCCAAGGCGTACTTGTGGAGAAGGCAAACTACTCTCCGGTACTAGCTATAGCTGACTAGTAGTTATTGTGTGCGCGATTCCAGCGCGTTGCTCGCGCTCCTAACTTGTCGCGTTTAGATAGTTCAATTAGGGTTTTTCGTTTCGCAGTGGGTTCTCTCGCATAAATTTGCTAGTGGCTGGCTCTACCGATTTATAGTTCCTTTTAAGCTGTAAATGACAAAGCTTTTAAAATTTTATTTCGTCAATGTGGCTCTGTGCTTTTTTCCGTCGCGTATGACCAATCATATCTCGCGCTAGCCAACTTCCAATGGTCATATTTTCTTTTGCTATTTCCATTAATGACAAAGAAAAAAGAAGTGCAATTAAGTCTCAGATATATAGCGGTCGTAAAATGCAATTTAGCTCGGTAGCTTCGTAAAAGTAGCTAAAGTGAAGATACTTAGCGAGTAAAACGATAGTATAATATTTGGAATTCTTTAAATCCTCGTCGTCGTCTAAAGTTTGTTCTTGCTATATAAGATCTTTGCGTTTACAACTTCGTTATTTCGCTTGCAGTAAAGGCAAACTTGAGGCGTGATTTTACGGCAAGCAATATGAAAAAATACTGTTCTATTATATCATTAAAATCTCATGATAGACTAAAATCGGTGAAAATATAAAACAAAAGAAAAAAAACGAAAAAAGTGAAAATAAACCTTATTAATAATTCATTATCGTCGATAATATATAAAAGGCAAGCGTACAGCCACATTTATTAGTTTGCCCGCTGCCGTTGGCAATAATAGTGCATCAGCCGCTGTAATAAATATAAATAAGGAAGGTTTCTCCCTGCTCCAACAGCGTTGGCCCTTGAAAGGCTATGCTTTTCTAATTACACAGCTCTTTATTTAACGTGCTCGCCTTCATCTCGTTAGCATAGAAAACGAGACTCTCGCACGCCGTTAGCGCCTTGAAGATTCGCTCTCTCTTGGTTTTTCGTTGCTGTTGCATGTGCCGGTGTTAATGTCATCTGCGAGAGCTAGAGCTCGCACACAGAAGCACTAGCGGCGGCCTCGCAAAAGCCACTACGCTGGCACATTGCCCGCCAGTCGATGCCGCAAGCCCATAAGACTGCAAGCTTCCAATTATCGACGCACGCGTGCTACTCTCGATATTCGGCTGATTATCTTTGCAAGTCAGTGTGTTTGCTCTATATATGGATCTACATTTCGTGGCTGGCGTTCGCTTGTACGCGTGTAATTCACTTAATAAACCTCGCTTTTATGGAAAATAGCCGAGCACGGCTTTGATGCAATGTAATTCTAAGCAAAACCTGCCGAAAAGAGATCGACGTTACAAAATAACAAGCAAAATCAACATCTGAATGATCAAGCAAAGCAGTAAAGTATACTTGTTGCTTCAAACTGGAGGTCGACGTAACGCTACGACGTACGTAGCGCGCTAACTTGGCTCCAAGACGTTGACAGATTTTCGTCGAGCTAGCGGAAGCTTTTCGAATCAGTTTATTGTTTGATCGTAAGTCACGTGAAGCAACGTTTGACACGGCGAAATCGAATTGACAATTAAAAGTTAATGATTATACTCGCGCTTCATCTACATGGAAAATCGATATTTTCGTTTTTTTCGTTTTTTTAGAATTCTCATGCAGATTCGCCCAGGCTACGCAAACGTGCAAGCAAGAAGGTCGTTAATCACTCGCCAAGCTTTTGGCTGTGAAAATCATAAAGCACTCGTGTGGTCGAGAGAGCGCCCAGCAGCAGAGTTCCAAGTCATTATACCGACTACTTACTTCGGCGAGAGCAACTAACTGCATGCGCGAGCCGCAGACTGCTTTGAAATTCGCTAAATCGAGAGAGAATACGCAGCTAATCAGCGAATTTCCGAGAGACGCCCTAATGCTGTCGAGCTTCCTCTCGCCTGATCTCTTCCCCGTTTCAAATTTTACTTCGTAAATCTTGAATACTCAAGCTGCCGAGGAGACGATGCCACCGGCGAATCATCGGCTAACTGTCGGCAGCATCTGCTGCGCATTTATTTTAAATGCTTCATATACCCGACTGGCGCAGCGTCCTAGCTTTGCCATACTTGTAAATTCACTGCCCAACTTTCAATACAAATCACAAATTAACGTGCGATCACAGAATTTACCTATCATTGGATAAACCTTTATTGTTTTCACAGTATTACCTGAACATTACAAACAAAATAAAAACATTTTTCGACACTCCGTACGCAAAGTGCGTCTTTCCCATTTCCACACGCTCGGCAAAAAACGTGCGTTCAGAATAGCGCTTTCCACACCTCGCATCGAAAAATACGGTACGGCACGGCTTTTCCACGTAAACGACACTCGAGACCAGAATATACTTTTCCGCGTTTCTATCGCAATTGCTGAACGATTTTTTTGCCTTTCAATTATAATGCGCTCCAAGCAACAAATTATCATAACCAATCAAAACTCTATTAGTAAATGTAAAATATCGACGATATTTTTCATTATACTGCTAATTTATAATTAAAAGTAACTGTATTTTTTAAACGTTTACATTTTATTGTAAAAGTTATTCAAACATTTTTAGCATATCAATCATCCACCAATCATAATATAATGACCGAAACGTTTTGAAATTCGTAAAAGTTTTAGAAAGTTTTTACTATATTTTAAAGCGAGTGCAGTATCGTTTCATCCAACTCATAATCAATTTGACTAACATGAGTAATGCAAACATTCTAATTATCGAAGCGTTCTATTGTCAAAATAGCCAAATTAATGATAGTACCCAAACCTTAAATTTATTTCTTTGCTTATAACAACAATTTCTTTTCGTTAATTTTTCCTTTCTCTTCAAAATTCAGTTTTAATAAGACACTCTTCAAACATTTTGCTCAAACCACTAAAATTAACAATTTACGCGCCCATAGCGCAGAGAGCATGAATATAGCCAAAACACCAGCAATTTTATTCAACATTAAAATTTGCATTGCTAATCCCTCAGTAATCAAGAATTCCCTTGGACCATACGTTCACACAAACTGGCACATACATCACAAAACATAACAACAAACTCTTACGTATTCTCACTGCTGATGATAGACGAAACGACTGCCGTGAAAGCAATTAAACGCGCGTATATAATTTAACGTTATACGTATAATGTCAAGTGGATACTAATTGCAGCTAATTGAATTTAGTTCGGTCAAAGAATTGATCGTGAGCTTTCGTCACGTGAATGTCGCGTGATTTATGCAAGCTCTTCCGCCCACGGTGGCGACGCGGCTTTGCTTTGTATAAGCTGGTGCGTTAGCGAGATTAGCTTGAGACGATTACGCACTGCTGCTCGAGGCGACGGCCAAAGCTTACCAAAGCACGTAAGTTGCTTGTGTCTGTGAGCAAATCTCTGTGTATGTCTGTACATTGAGCTTTGATTTATCGGGATCGAGTGAATGACCGAAGCAAATTCATCCTCATGTAAGGAATTTTAAGAACCACCCATTTTTACCTAAAACAAACACCTCCAGACCCGTAGGTGGTCGATTTTCTTAAAACTTGATACAATTATTGTTTATATGTAGGAATCTTTCTACAAATTTTTAAGTCGAAATATTAATTTCAAAAAAGTTCATCAGTTAATATGTTTTATTAAAATTAATATTTATCTATAAATTTATATGAGGGTTTTCTTTCATATAAACAACCGCTGTACCAGGTTTTAAGAAAATTGATCAGTTACTGGTTTAGAGGTGAACGCCGCAGGCGAGAATGGGTCAGTTATACGACCGATACTCTTCAATATCGTCAAGAAGATAAAGAATCGAATGAAATTTCGAAAGATAAGAACTTGAACATTTAAAAATTTTATAAATCATGCTGTAAAAGTCTGAATTCAATGAGTATAAATACTCTTGGAACAATAATTATAAAACAGAGCAATAATATCATTAGTAATCGTTAAGTGTGGATGTACAAAAATATAAACAATAAGTAAAATAGATTTCGTTAGGAAAGCAACACCGTGTCATTGATTAAAGCAACCAGAGGAAAAAGAGGACAAGAGAGA